TTTTTTTTTTTTTTTTTTATTTGTAATGAGTGTTGCATTAGCATGATCCTATTTATAAGGCCAAGTTCCATGTAGAAAATAAATGGAAGTACAACAGATATGGCTGCTTGTCAACTTCACTTGATTAGCATGTCTTTCATAGGTAATTACAAGACTGTTGTCATTTACATCAAGCCCACCTGCTAATCCCCAGTGGCTGCATTTGTGGTCATCCCCACAATTTCTGTAAAGCCGTGATACTAAATAATATCAAAGCAATGTAGTCAGCCACTGCCACCTGCCCAAAGCCCTGCTGACCCATCACTAGCTTCTGACCGCACTGAGCAACCGCTACTTCTTGTCACTCCACACCTTGTGATCTTGTCCTTGAACTCTCAACAATCAAACTGCTCCTTTTTCCAATATCATGCAACAGACAGCCAGAAACAGAGAAATGTCACTAGACAGAGTGCTGCATCTCACTTCCCAAACACACCGAATGAACTGAATCTGCAGCTTTCCCATTTTGATGGAAAACTCCAGCAGAAAAGTTTTGATATAGCTGCATCTGATATGTAGCTCTCTACACCGAACTTTGGACTCCCCCCTCTTGCTCTGCAGTAAAAGTTTACTCAGGGTCATGAAATGTTTCTGGCTTTAGGCCTCATCGTCTCACTTTTTAAAATCGAAACATCCCTAGCAGTGTTGGACGAGACATGCTTGTTGACAGTCCTATCGCCCAAGGCTAGGGACAGAAGTTACATATAAACCATTTAAGTGATTGGAAATTTGTTTAAACCTGTAACAGAATAGAAGTTCAGGTCACATAAACTGATTTCAAAATGGCCAAAACCAGTTTAAGATGAACTTGGTTGGATGCAGTATCAGACTTAACTGATTTAGGTCAAATCAATTTATGGAACTTGTCCCAGATCCCTTCCCAGTTCAAGTTAACTCAGTCTCCCAGCATCCCAGGATGCTTTGCAACTGTGGGCTGTGCTGTCTGCTCTCATACAGCCTGCCTTTCCCAACTGAAAACTGAAAAACAGTTCAGCTGGTTATCAGTTCAACCTCTGCAGCTTAGAGGAAGCTGCCTAGAATTAACTGATTCTGCCTTGGGCTTTTTGACTGTCTGTACTTAGCCCAAGTGCCTGGGGGGAAAGCTGAAGCAACAGCAGATATGGACAAAGAATGTAGTAGCACTGGATATACTTTATACTCTAGAGGAAAACTGAGCATTTTAAAAAACATTTAAAATGACAAAGAAACAAATAATTTAAAAGCACAAAGCAGTCACCAAAGTCATCCATTGTTACACAAGCTTTATGATTTAGAAGGGGTGGATTTTACTCTTTTCAACATTTAGTAAAGATATAGCTTGACTCAACAAGTGAGCTCCTGGTTTGTATCAGCTCATATTGGCTTACAGTAGTAACCAGTTTATTTCTTACCCCAGGGATAAGAGCCAGCACAATCCTGATTAAACTGTGTTACAACTAGAATGAAATGTCACACCAATTCCCAGAGCTGTCCTTAGGGGTGTGTGGAGCCTGTGCAGGGCCGTGGGGGTGGAGCCTGTGCAGGGCTCTGGGGGTGGCAAGCGGCCAGAGTGGACTGGGGGGTAGAAGAGGGGACGGCAAGTGGTGGGAGCATGGAGCCAGTGGTGTGCGGTGGCCATAGTGGCATCTATATGGCACTGTCCGCGGGGCCCCCCAAAGCAGTCGCCCCAATTCACTCCCCCTAGGGACAGCCCTGCCAATTCCAGCCACAACATTTCTGACATCAGTTACACCCATGTAACCTCACAGCTGAGGATGTACAGGCGTAACTGACAGCTGACGTTGAAGCTTGTTTCTCATCTCGCTTATACTGATGTACATGGGGAGGTGTTATGAACCCCAGTGAAACAGCCCTGTAATGCAAAGGAACCAAACTGCACCATGGCTTATCAGTTATCTCCTCTAATTTCAGCCAAGTACAAAAGCAAGCCAGAGAGAAACAACTGTAAACATGTTTAAAGAGATTCATGTAGACAGAAATCTATTTTTAAAATGTTTTTGTGAAACTGGTGCAACTGTTGTGCCAATAACTCAGAGAGCCGTCGTCCAAAGTCCTGGTGACACACAGGTGAGGATGGTACCCATGAGGAAACAGAGACTAGGGCAGGGCTTTTCTCATACTTGAGCTAGGCAAACCCAGGTGCCAGTCACCTGCATTAACTCTGCTGTGCAGACAACCCCTCTCAAAAAACCAGCAGCAGTGGCAGACAGCCCAACACCCCAGCTTTTCCTCCCCTTGCTATTAAGGGAGAAGAACAGGGCTCATGCTTTCTCCCATATAAAGCTCTGTAAAGCAGACCTCTCTCTAGCTACTGAAAAAACATACTGAGATGAAGTATAATGCATACACCCAATTAGTCTTTCCTGCATTTTAACTGGAAAATTAAAACCTGTTCTACAAGCTTCTCTTTGAGTTACGTGAGCATTTTAACGACAGCAGTTGTGCACAGATATATAATTCTTTTCATACAAAAACATTACTACCTGTATCATGCAAAGATTTTCACGTGTTAAGAAAAGTTATGATTAGGCTCCAAGAAGTACCCTAGAAAACACTTCCAAAGAAAAGCGACAACTTTGGTTTATAAAATAAATATTCTGGTGAATAAAAACCTATCTATAATTGCAACTGCAGTCTTATATCATAGATCTGTCCCAACTTGGGTTAAAGTCAACTTCCAGTTAAAAGACTATTAATTCCTTTGTTAGTGGTGGGTCACTCCTTCCCTTAGCAACACCACAAGTGATTTCATTAACACGTGGTAAGGTACCAGTCTGGACAAGGGAGCTACAGTCTTCACATTTAACACTATTGCCCTTAAGTTCATTTAGCTCTGCTAAAGTAACTGAATTGTCTGTGTTCACATTCATCATAAAAAGCTCATGTGCAGATTAAAAAAACCGCTGTCAACCTTTTTCTAGTTAAGGCCTAAAACATGAAGGAAAAGAGAATGTCAGCCCTTGCCCATAAGCTGCTGAAAAGCCCACCAGATAACTACACAGATGGACCACTTCTTAGCCTGCTCTAGCATAATAAGAGGTGGACATAGTCCTGAAAATATTGACAAGGAGGTAGGGGGCGGGGTGCAGGGGAGGTGGAGGGAAAGAGAGGGGAGAAATGTTGGTTCTGCCCAAACATAACTTTTAAAAGGTGGACTGTCGTGGGTGAGTCAGTACAGCAGCTGCTCAGTGTCCCTGTCACAAATAGAGACAAAAAATATAGGATAGGCACAATTAAGTTCCAGAAACTTGTTGTCTAGTGTGCACAACTTTCAGGATTTGCAGGAAAGAAGGTACAAACCAAATCCATGGTTAAGAAAGTACTGTTTGTGTTTGGAGGTGGCCTTGGGGAACGATACATACAAATGTACTGGTATTATATGACTGAGTCTTTTGATTCAAAAAATTAAAATAAAAAAGGAAATCTAGTGATAAGCTAAACCTTAAAAATATGTAAGTGAACTTGTGTTATCAAAGAAACACAGATCAAACATCTACTTATCACAAAACTATGCCTGTATTCTAAATAGAGTTAAACGCAGATGGGGAAAACTCTATCAACCAGCAAATAGTCTCAATGAGACCACTCACATAAGAAAAGATTGCAGTATCAAGCCTCTTATGTTTTTAATTATACCAAGACACCAGCCAGGGAAATCAGTAGTAGTCTGAAAATTTATGTTGACACTTTTGCCTCCTGGTTAGTTAGAAATCAGAAACCAGGTAATTAATAAAATCTCACAAATAAGATGTCCTTAAATATAAGAGCACAGCACAAACCTCTCCTTTAGTTAGAATGCAATGAATCACTTATATGAACTATTGTTGCTATTACTGCTCCAGACAAAGTTACTCCATCTGAATGTCCATTTGAGATAGCTGATCTGAAGGAGAATGCCACAGGATAATCTTTTGATGCAGCATTTGTTTTGTATAACTGAACAGTTATCTGAAAGGAGAAAACCATTATATCTTGTCACATTGTTCCATAAGACTTGATCATGCTTTGATATAATCTGGTAAGTTTTTTATCCCTCTCTACCTTCATGCTGGAACACAAGAACTGTTAGCAAGTTAGACCACTGTGGCATGAGACGGTAAACAGTGTAGCCTTAAAGAACAGACTTTTTAAAATATAGCAGGGGATCAGAATCCTACTGAAACCTGTTCACACAATACATTTG